ACAACAACAAATGTATGATGGACCCATTTTCTATTCTCTCCCTTTCTTTTTAATGCAGATATAGGTTGGATCTATTACACTAATCTAGTCTCATCTCCAGCTATTATTTTCTATTATTAATAGCACTATAACATGGACTCCTGAAGAAATAGTCACATTTCACAGACTGCACAATGCTGCCTCCTGCAATTAGAGTGTTCAGCCATAAGGTGTCAGTGATGGGCTGTTGCACTACATATAATACAAGAAACCAGAAGAGACTGGTGTTAAGCTCCCTCCCTTTTTTATGAGCATTCATTTTTATGGCTTAGAAATAAAAAATTAAACTTAGCATAAATTAATAGACTAGTTAAACACAAATTGTTAGACTGCTTTAAAATTATTTAAATCAAAATTTTTTTAAAGTAAACATTTAAAAAAATACACTTGCTCCTTTATACTTGATTAGCCATCCTTCTTAGTCTTTTCCTTTTTGATCATATACTTTATTTCAAAGAAGAGAGTAGATTGGACTGTTTCTGTTCATAGTATATCAGATGAACATTTCTGATTCTTAATTTCCTAGGCTTCAGATATGTTCAGGTGAATTACTTACATTTTTTAAATTCATTAGTTCTTTCGGTCCTCAGGAGACTCAGAAACACTTGGTAACTTGTCACAATTACTCACCCGCTTTGGCAATTCTTGGAAGAATAGTTTCAAAAATAGGGTTTAAAAGTATATACCTGGAAAATTCCGCACAGTTAAATAGGTGGGAACCACCCCCCCACACTCCCACACCCCCACCCATCCCCGTGGTAGCTGACACATTTACTCAAGATTTGTTACCAAGCACCTAGGACTCATCTTAACTGTGAGGAAAGATGGTCAGCCTCAAAATCTGGTTTTCTTATTCTTCTCCTGGATCTTTTAACAGCTGTTTTGTTAAAGAAGAAAGGAGCTCTCGTGGCAAAGCAATTAAAGCATTTATCTGTTAACCAGAACATTGGCAGTTCGAATCCACCAGCCATTCTGTGAGAGAGAGATGAGTCGGTCTGCTTCCATAAAGATTGACAGCCTTGGGACCATTATGGCAATGGGTTTGTTTTTTTAGGCGAGGTAGTAAAGAAAATGCTGGTATGGATATGAGTCAGCTGGGAGATGCATGCAGCGTAAATTACCAGCTACTGTGTTAACATGTAAGGATCTCTGGTGGCACAGTGGTTAAACACTCAGCTACTAACCAAAAGGTCAGCAGTTCAAACCCACCAGTCACTCTGCAGGGGAAAGATGTGGCCATCTGCTTCTATAAAGAGCACAGCCTTGGAAACCTTAGGGTCATCTCTAGTTCTGCTCTGTCCTGTAGGGTCACTGTAGTGTGAGTCATATTCGACTTGACTGCAGTGTGTTGGGTT